TAGCTTCAATCAAAATATTTTTTGGATTAAAATATTGTAATTGATAGATGTTAGCCTCCTTTTAACATAATAATAATTATTATTAATAATAAATGAAATGCGAGGGGTTCTGTCCACTTTACTGAGAACTACTTTACTGACAGGTCACTTTACTAACAAAAATTATTTTAACAATTTGCCAAGGACTGTGTGAAGACCTGGATAACTCTATGTAGAAGCTAAAAGTTTGGTTTTTTATGTTCCACAAATTATTAACTAATAACACAACTTATTATCCTTACTTTGCATCAAAAACCTGTTCATAAAAATACAATATAGATACATGTATAATTTTTTTTTTTTTTGTCTGAAGAAATTGATAAAAATTGCATATTCGGACTTTGTTAATTGTTTTTATTAAATTTATTTACATTCAATGATGAATTTATTTTTAATTTTTAAATAAATAAAATAATCTTTCCTCTTGCATTTGAATACTTTTAGACATAATTTCTTGAATTTTATGTTAAACTCACACCCTTATTATATAAAAAACATTGAAAAGCCCAAATAGTTCGAGTTTTGAGAAACAGTTTGGGCTAGAAACCTTACTTGATTGTTGGTAAAGTGTCTTGTTGGTAAAGTGGTTGTTGGTAAATTGTCCTGTCGGTAAAGTGGTTGTCGGTAAGGCATCCTGTCAGTAAAGTGATCCAGACCCTCACAATATAATTTATATTTCTGGAAAATAAAAATTTATCTACATCTTGTAATCTATTTTTAATTTTAGTTCCTGTTGAAACTACAGTCAAACCTTGTCATAGCAGATGAATGGGATACACATAAGGAAATTTTATTTAAAATCCATTATGACAAGAATTTAATTATAGTCCATTGTGACAAGGTTTGACTGTATTGTGAGATCATGTCCTGTTGTTGTCGCCAAAACGTGAAATCATGTCCGAGTCTTGAAGATGATGATTGATTTAATACCAATAATGCTAATACAATTTCTTTATTTATACTAAATCGTAACAATTTCCACAAATGTATATTTATGCTTTATTCTTGTAACTATACTTCACTATCATTAAACAATTCCTTGCTAAGTAATATCAAACAATATCTTCTTATCCTGATCACGTTTCTTTGTGGGTGCCATTCTTAGCTGTTACTCCCTACTCAAGTCAGGTATGTTTCTCAAACTTCCATCAGGAAAATAAATCTTACATAAACCTACGTAGGGTTTAAAACTGACCAGCATTATGCGGAAATGTTAACAGAATTACCAAAATATCGACATAATGCTGGCCAATTCTGAACCCTGCGTAGGTTTATGTAAGATTTATTTTCCTGATGTCACTAATAAAAATGTAATTATGAAATTAATTACAAATAACAACAATACAGAATAAATGCTATTCGAAATCAAAGAAACTGAAAATTTTCTATACAACCCGTTGTTAATGCTACACTGGTTAACCAATTTCAAACCTTTGCTCTATACCAAAACAAGTAAACGGAACCCCAGAGTTCTATATTCTATACCACTCTGACAACCAAACGGACAATTAAACCCTACTGTTTAATTTCCGACTGAAAAAGTGTTTTTACAAGAGAAACAAAGACTATATTTATGTGTGAAATTATTTCGTCTCGCATAATCAATTTGTAATTATGTATTGCATATTACCATAAAGTAGCAACCTTTTTACAACTTGTTTACAATTGTGTAATAAATGATTTTCAATTGTTTTAAAGTAGGGTGCTATCTTTCGAGACTTTACAGTACATATTATAGTTTTGACAAAACAATTACAATTAATTAATTAAAATTTATGGATTTTACATCACCCATGATCGATTTCATCTACAATTCTCATAATTAATTCTGTCACGCGTAATTAATTTCGTAATTATGTATTACGTTTTGGCAAAACAATTACCTCCAATGTATAATGTTTTTAGGTGGATGGTATGCATCATCTTAGAGGTCATATCCATTGAATATTCATTCATTTTATATTCATTTAATCAATTAAATTAAATGTCCAGGTAATCATTTGGTGTATTCAGGTATTCATTTGATCATTAAATTAATTACTCAGTGAATGATTTATTCAGTAAATGTTCGTTATTAACAAAAAATTTTAAATTTATTAATCACCAATATTTCTTTCCAAAAAAAAAACTCCAATCTTATCAAATAAAAGTGTATTAAGTTTTGTTCTTTTTGGGGTTATTGTATTTCCAGCTTGACTGAAGGTGTACACAAGTATTTAGGAAATCTATTTTTATTATGTTTCACCACAATAATGGATCACTTGACTTCTTAGAACCACCCTTTTCTTCAAAATATGAGCAGCAGAAGTCTCCTCCCCTTTCATTATTACTTTCTCCTATTATAGTAGCTGAATGCTCTCCTTCCAATTTAAATGAATGGAAATGTAATGTTTAATTTAATTAATTAGAAATGAACAAACATGAGAAAAGTCATTTCAATTCAGTTACGCAAGATATTGATTATTAGTTTATATATTTGGTAACCACATATTCACTGAATATTCTTCACTGTTGCATCTTGGTTTGAAAAACTTGTTCATTTATACAACACAACCCATTTTCGTGAAACTTTTATAAATAAAATTATCAAATGAGGATTAATTAAATACTTCCCACAATGCTTTGTCTAAAGCAAGGCATACTTTTGATCATCTGACTGATTTTAAAGATTGATAGGTTACTCGACTTTCTATTTAATGTAAATAAAAGGTGATAACAGTTAAAAAATTTTTATTAAAATTTTTCCTTCCGTTTTATTTTTTAAAAAATAAAAAATTCATAAATACTATATATATCAAAGCAAACTTTTGTATATAAATAAAGTGGCAAAAATGACTGACGAGTTCAAACTCTTGCCTGATGATCAAGAAGCCAGAGAATGGATATATAAGGCTAAAGATATTGGTTTCATGTTGCTTTATGATTACGGTGATTTCGAGAATGTAGAGTTGGTTGAAAATTCCACTGACATGATATTAAAAAGGGCTGTTTTAAGGCCATTAAAAAAAGTTGTAACTTTGTCAACATCTAAATTAAATAATCAGTTCTCACTAAGGCATTCAGTTAGAGAGGTTGGTTGTCAAATATAATAAATAAATATTTTTATCATTAAATTTTTATTTTATTATTTAAATAAAAAATTTATTTAATACAGGTACAAAAGCTTCGTAGAGTTTCAGCCCATGACAATGTTTTGAGCTATATAGGTTTAACACAAGAGCCTAATGCTAATAATCTTGTTACTGTGGTTTTAGATTATGCTTATGATAATTTACGAGATTATTTAAGTGACAATGAATTACCATGGGCTAAAAAACTCCAACTTGCCAAACAATTAACAAGTGGATTATATTGTCTACATCAATATGATATGTATCATGGTAATTTGGTAATTATCTTTAAAAATTTTATATTTAATTCATGATAAATTTTTAACAATATATTTATAATAGAGATCAGA